GCGATGGCCGGGCTGGTGATGGGCAAGGGAGCCCTCGCGGCGGCGATCGCCGAGGCGACCGAGACCGACAAGAAGACGGCAGCCAAGGTTCTCGAGACGCTGGCGGCGATCGCGACCCAGGAGGTGAAGAAGAACGCCAAGTTCACCATCCCCGGGCTTGTCATGATCAAGACGCGCAAGAAGCCCGCGACCAAGGCCGTCCGCCTTCTTCTCATCATCATCCCAGTCGCCCTCGTCTGCCCTCCACCTCCTCCTGACCCTCCTCGTCTGCGACCAAGGCCGTCCGCACTCCTCCCTCTTCTTCTTCATCGTCCTTCTCTTCCTCCTCCGCCGCCTGTTCCTCGTCGCCATCCCCCTTTTCTGACTTCTTCTCCTGATCCTCCTCAAGGCCGGAAAGAGGGAGATGTTCGGCAAGGTCTGCATCGTGAAAGCCAAGCCGGCGAAGACTGTGGTCAAAGCGTTTGCGGCTAAGGCTCTCAAGGACGAGTTCTGAGATGCCCGCCAGGAGCTTCACAGCAGTTCCTGCCCGTTGTGGTCCTTCCCCTTCCTTTCTCCCACTTCTCATTATTATCCTTCCTCCTCTCTCCTCTTCCTCCTTCCCCTCCTCCCTCCTCATCCCTGTCTCTCCCCCTCCTCCCCCTCGCCCTCCTCCTCCCTCCTCCTCCGCCTCCGCCTCCTCCTCCTGCTCCCTCCTCCGCCTCCGCCTCCAGATCCGCCTCCCTCCTTCTCATTCTCGTCCGTCTCCTCCGCCTTCCTCCTCCTACTCCCTCATCATTCTCCATCTCTCTCCTCTTCCTCGTCCCGCCTCCGACTCCTTCCCGCTGGTTCTCCTCCTCGTCCTCCTCCACCTCCTCCCTCCTCCCTCCTCCTCCTCCTCCTCCTCCTCCTCCTCCTCCTCCTCTCCTCCTTCTTATCTTTCTCCTCCTGTATCCCTTTTCTTGTAGATAACGCCTCCCTGTCGCACCCCCAGACGTGTTGGTAGGGCGGGCCGGGCGTTTCGCATGAGACTTCCGCACCACTGATGATCCTTCAGCTTGCAATTCGAACAGTTACATGGATGGAGACACAGGTCGTTTTAACAATGTGACTCTCGCTTTAGCGCCGCACGCTTTCGTCTTACACGTATGCAGCAGTGGCAAGGACGGAATGCATGCCGTTTTAAGCATGGTGCTCTCGCCTTAACGCCGCGCGCATTCGTCTGAATAGTGCGCAGCAAACACAAGCACGGAGGGCGGGCCGTTTTCAAAATCGACCTCTCGTCTCAGCGCCGCGCATGTCCGTCTTAACTTTTGAAGCAGTTGCAATGGTGGTGCGCGATTCCTTTTCAAAATTGGGCTTTCGCCTTAGCGTCGCGCACTTTCGTCTTAACAGTTTGCAGCATTTGCAAGGCTGGAGGGCGGTTCACTTTCAACATTGGGCTCTCCTCTCGAGACTCTCTCTCAACCTCTGTTGCCACCACTGTAGACTTGGTCAACGACTCCGTGGATGGGGGGGGGATCTTCATTTAACACGGGGATCTCGCTGGACACCTCGCTGACCGAGATGAAGAGGTGGAGGAGGAGGAGGGGGAGGATGAGCCTATCTCTCGCATGCCTGATCAACACGGGGCCGTCGCCTGCGTGGCAGGCTACCCAAGGGTGTTGGTCTTTCCAGAGGGCGCCTCTGGCAGTAAACAGGAAGGCTTCCTCCTCCTTCGAGACTTACGAGGAGGGGGCTTGGGACGGGAGCGTGCATGTCGGCATCGCTCATGCATATTGGGTTTGCGGTTTGCTCTGGTCCCCCTCATCCACAATTCCTCGATAAGAGCACTACTCTCCTCGCTCCCCCGTCTGTGTGCTGAAAGTGTCTCGCCGTCTCAATACTTTTATTTGTTGGCGCGCGCATATCTTCAATAGTTGATACGTTGTCTAAATTGTGCTCCCGCCGCAGCGTTGGCCTCAATTTAGGATCGGCGCTTTGCCCTAGTCGTTTAGAATCACGCTCTCGCCCCAGTGTGCTCCACATTTCTGGATTTGGGATCGTCGTCGTCATTGTTGCCCCCCTCCTTTCCCCTCCTCTGCCTTCCCCTGGTCATCCTGATCCTTCCGCTCTTCCTACTGCTGCTGCTGCTGCTGTTCCTCCTCCTCCTCCTCCTCCTCCTCTTCCTCATCCTCCTCTTCCTATCGTGCTGCTCGACTGCCATATGCTCCTCCACCTTTTCCACTGTACGCAACTCTTCTTTTTGCTCGCGCATAACGCGATGGAGTAAGTACGGGGTATGTGTGTATATCTAATGGCGTTCGGCTCATCCCGGCCTTTTCGGGCCTTCTGGGGACCTCTTCGGGGCCCGTCGGGGCCTCTTTGTGGCCTCTTGGACTCTGAATGAGGAAGGGCAAAGGCGAGGGGTATTGAGCGCTTGTTCGCGGCCACTTTGGCCCAGTGACCGGCCACCCATCTGACCGGGCCGCACCGCGACCCGCTACCTTACATCGAGACAGGAAAAGTTCCATTCTTTACTCTTGAGATGCATCATCGCCGCTCACGCGGCTCCTTCCTACTTCTGGCACGATCGCTGACGCGATACAGCAGGGTTGGACGTATGCTTCGCCTTAGGCGAAGCATCTGGTTGGGCCTCCCGACCAGCTTTAGACTTGGTAGCGGAGCTGGCCGTTGGTGGTCAGCTCTAGCATGGCGGAACACCAGGGTACGTGATGGAGCTCTATACCATCGCAAGGACATTTGCACTGCTGCCTCTACTCACGCAGAGGTCTCTTACCTGAACCCTACATTTCTGCGCTACTACACTCCTGAAGTCCACCCGCCTGCGCCAATTTGCAATCTCTTCGAAGATACTACGCATGGTTACATGCGCTATGACATCGCGCTGCCTGCACTTCCTCGCAAACTGACGGCAACGTCACCTCGTAACCAACAGCCACGTACAAGCGACACCGACCTACGGGGCCACTGCATTGGCATCGCTATCTTTGGCCTCCTCTGGGTCGCCTTTGGATGCGCTGTTGGACATATGCAGCGTCGCGCAGACGACACGCGCACTACCGGTTCTCATTGGGACCCTGCCGGTAACGTGTCTTTGCGCGAGTTCGCTCGCGAGGTACATGCCTGGATCAACGCGACCACAGGCGCTATGACCCCCTCCCAACAGGCCGCCGCTTTACAGCGTGGCCTTGGAGGTCTCGCAGGGACCATTGCCATGAGAGTCCCCCCCGCAGTAATCAGTTATGGAGTGAACATTGGTGGGCGCCACACCGATGGAGTCACCTACGTACTGTTCTTCCCCAGTACCACATTTAAGAATCTGGAAGAGGAACGACAACTGAATTCGGGGACGGCTCTCGTTGACTTTCGCGGCCATGCGGGAGAACGGATCGACCGGGCGCTGGCCCGCTTCGAGGTTGCACGCTTCGAAGCTGACTCCGCGGGGCTCAACGTCCCAATTTTCCAGATCCTAACACTCATACTGTTCAGGGCCCTAGGTGTTGGTACTTTGTGTGCGCAGCAGCTACTGCAACCACCGAACCACCCAATGCCAAGGACTCAGCAACAGTCCGACTCCTTTCTGGAGCGCATAAGGGCTTACGCCCATATTGCCCAGCGAACCCTCGGCAGCATTGGTGGTGTATTTCGACGTGGCCGCCGCGCTGATGTCTTTCATGGTGACACTCATGCGGGGCAACCTGCCAGCACCGTCTGGAATTGCCATCCACAACCAAACGAGGCCGCCGCTGGATTAAGCCAGCGATGTGGCCAGCCCGTGGGGTCGCAAGACTCCTGGGCTCGATGACAGGGGCCGTCGGCAACGGCGGCTCCTGGCCAAACCATTACCTTCATTGGCTCGGCGGGGCAACCTGCAGAGTCCGACTTTGACTCAGGCACCGATGCTGACGCCTCGTCGGATGAAGGAACTGGTAGCTTGGATTATTCTGATATGCCCGTGCACCTCAGAGAAGTGCAACAAGCGCAATGGATATTCCTGGGCCACAAGAAACATAAACGCCGATGGACACGTTTTACGAAGAAACCAGTTCGATGGGTACGACGTGCAGTTCGACGTGTGTTTAGGTCAAACGGTAGGGGTAGAGGTAAGGGTAAACGACGACGGTAACGTGGTGGAGGTATGCTGACATTCCTGGCCTCCTTTACGGGGCCACAGTATGAGGACATCTTCCAGGGGAAGGGTAGAGGCCGCATGCGCGCCTCAGGATGAGGTGAAGGACGTCGGGGTGGCCCGAAGGATGCCAGCGGGAAAGCCATGGAATGTGATATCTGCCATAGCACCCAACATTTTCGTCGTGAGCGCCCCCGAAGCGAGGGGGGGGCAGGGGTCCGTCGATGCATTTGGCTCTAGCCGTCTCGGAGATTCAGTATGTCGATTTGGGAACCCTTCCTGCCGAACCAAAGGGCAGCCCCGCAGCCGCTGTCCACTTCGCGCCCGCGAGGTACATGGGCGCCAGCGTGTCCCTCGAGAGGCGCGCCGAGGAGCTCTTCGAGGAGGTTTGCGTCGACCGCGACGAGATCGATCTCGCAGACTGGCTGGGCATCCCGGTCGCGGGGCAACCTGCGCGCGTAGAGATCTTCGAGGCGTGCCGACCGCCCGCCGACTCGGACTGCGAGGTGGTTGGGGCGCCTGCGCTCCCCGATGGGTGCGAGCCGGATAGTTCTGATGATGGCGCGATGCCGGCTACGGAGGAGGAGCTTCAAGTGTCGCTCCGACCGCAGGTGATTGGGGACCTTGCGTGCAGGGTAACCTGCGGCGAGGACCCTTTGCGGGGCAACCTGCGCGACGCTGGTAACTTCGGAGCGGATCCAGCGCGAACTCGCACGCAGCGGAGGCTCTCGCTTAACCTTTGTGCCGCGTGACCGTCCTTCGAGCCGTGAGGCTTGGAGACGCGTGGAGCGTGCTAAGGATAAGGGCGAGGAGTGGGGAGCTGAGAGCGATCCGCCTTGCCTTCGCTGGCGGAGTCATTCGCGCAGGCACTCGCGTGCCCGCTCAAGCGGCGCGCATCGCCCGCGTTCGCGAGATCTGAGAGGATCGCCGAGACGGGCATGGTCGCGGGGCAACCCGAATCAGGACGATGAGGGCTCAGACGAGCCCGAAGGTCAGCTTCGATTCAGATTAGTTGGTGAACGGAGCGACGGGGTGGCTCGCCAAACGGGTACCAGAGGACAGTATGAGACACTGGCGGGCGCAGGGCTGGTCCGAGCATCAAGTCCGCCATTTCTGGCCGTTGTGGTCTGTGCATTGGGGCCCAGAAGCGGGGGCAATCATCCGTTCTACCAGAGGGGGCGGCGCCAAGACAGCTGAAGCGCTGGAACGGAAGGCCGGCAACGTAGCCATCTGTAAGGATCGGAAGGAGCACCGAGAGCAGGTCTGTGGATGCGAGCATTTCGCATGCCACAGACCGAGTGGCCCGATGGGGCGCCCTCCAAGGGGCCCCAACTTCGAGGGGGCCCCGTGGGTCTGGCCGCGCGGGGGCGGCGAAGGTCGCAAGGTGGGCCCGAGCTGCAGCCCCAGCGCGCGCCGGACCAAAGCG